TTCAAAGTGTACTAAAAATGCTACTACAAGTATTTAATTAGTAAACTATCCCTATAAGATCACTTTTAGTATAGTTGCAGTACAAACTAAACATTTTGATGTAAACTAGTTGTGTACTCAAAGTTTACGACTGTTATACTTAAAGTATACTTAAAAGTATACTTTTATATACTAGAAAGTGGGCCAAATTATCCCAAGGAGTATTGAAATAGTACACTTACAAGTATACTACTAGTACACTGATATTTGTATACTTACTACGTAAAGTATACTTAAAAATATACTTGAACTTTACTTAAGTATACTTACTAAAATAAACTTGAAGTATACTACTTTTTGGTAAGGGTAGGCATAGCTAGCATGTGTCAGTGATATTGTGTCAAGCTAATATACCAAGTTTTATCACAGCTATCAGTTGCAACACGTTGTTGCAACCGTCCCAACGTGCTGTCCCTTACCACGACATTGATTTAAAAGCTTGCCATAACATTACATAATTGTAATTTTATGGATTAATAAAGAACTCTTTCAATAGTTCGGTGTCTCTCCTTTTTTAAGTAAATAGGTAAAAAATCTACTTCTTACTTGAGAATATTTTTCCATTTACTATTATTTGGTTTTATACAGCCAATTTACGTTTTTGAAGACCCTGTCTGTGAACAAATAAAATAAAGAAACAGCAAAATGATTTTTAAGAATGATTTAATTACATTCTAATGAATGTTGCAACCGTCCCCTGTTGTGAGGTCAGTTGCAACATTTCACTTTGTCTATTCAAGTGTAAATTGTACATATATCATATGTAGACATGTTGCAGCAATGTGAGTGAGTAAGCTGACTGATGTGGCTTTATTGTATTAAAAATGTGGCTTTCTAATACGTCTCTAAAGTCTTATTTAGTGGGTAGTCACAGTTTTTAGTTGACAAAACTCGTATTAATTTTATATTTCGTATACGATGTTAGCATGCATCCTATCACATTTCATTTCTGTCGTTACAAATACGTTTTAAATCGCGACGCGTTGCCTACTCGTTACTTTCGCTTTCATTCTCTGATAAACGCAGAAACTTTTAACCATACCTGCTTGAAGTGAAGGCAAAGTCCCATAAAGAAGAAACACACAAAACAGAGCAAAGATCTTCGTCGTGACGCTTGTTCGCATATTGAAAGATGTGAATTTGACTGATTTTATTTCGCTGAACGCAATACAGCAGAATAAGAGCAGCAGAAAATAGCGGATGATCTTTTAACCAATAAGAAAATAATACGATAAAGTCATCATTGAAATTTGATCTGTGTCTGGGCAAAAAGTGGTGAAGCAACACCAAAAAGCGGTTTATTATTATGGTGATAAACAGTTCAGTGTTCATAAAGACATTAGCTAATCAATGAGATAGACTTCCACAAAGATAGAGTTTGTTAGATGATGGTTTTATTTGCTGTTCTTAAAATGTTTACAAATATAGTAAGTAATTCAATCATTTAAATAATTAAAGAGTAGCAGACATTAGTTATTCAACTTGATTGTATTCTGACAGTGGGAAGAAATAATAATACTCAGTTTTGTCTTACAAAGGTAAAAGAACTAGTGAAACCATGTATAGGCCTATAAATTAAATGCGAGATTAGTTGTCATGTCATCTGTTTAAGCTGTCATTGAATCCCTGTAAAAAAAATTAACATAATTTTTTATTGCTCATTGTAGTCTAAATTGATTATAATGTATTAGAAAATAAATTAACAATTTGCCGATGATGCTGTAAGGTGTCCTTGAGTGCACTGAGAAAGTGCTTCAAAATATCCAGATGAAATGAAATATGAGAGAGAGAGAAAATATGAACTGAAATGATCTGTCTGATGCTTCGCCAGCATTCTCTCGTCCTGTTGGAGAAACAATAAAACGTTAAAACTCATATCTGAAATTTGCTTGGTAACAAATTGACGAAACATACCAGCAGATTCTTTCTCAAGCACAGGTTCTTCAGTATAAGCAACACTGGCAGTCAATGGTTCAGTAGTTTTCTCCTGTTGTCCTGGAAAACCACATTAATAATGTTTGAATTCTGATTAATATCGTATTCGGGCAGAGATGTGTGAGATTTCCTAATGGTCATCATCATGTCTCTGGGGTAGAATCTGGTGGCCATGCAGATGAGTTTCAACTTGGTTTTGGTAGATTTCCTTGCAAAAACATGAACATCTGGAGGAGCTGAAAACACAGGAATCAGTTTATCAATTAGTTCCATCTGCGGCAGTGCATCAAACATACAAATTAATTTACTCACTGCCATTTCTGAGCTTCTCATCTCCATATTCTCTGAATTTGTTGAGCCAGTCCACACACTCTTTCTCCAGGTAGCCTTTGGTGTACTGGTTTAGGATTGGGACATTGTCCCATTTTCTCTTGGTTGGTAGAGCTGCGTCAACTGATGTGACCCACTGAGACTCTTTAATATAAAATAACAGAAAGTTTTCTCCATCGTAGGTGTACTCACTAATGGCTTTGGAAAACTTCAATTTATCTCCCTGCTGCTCAACTTCACAACCATGTCTCCACTGAAGAACATGAAGATCTGAAATGGAGATGGATCAAAATGTTTGTAACAATAATGAAAATATGATATGGTAATTTTATACATGCAGATTATTCTGTATAAATGCTCCTCACCTGATTCACTGTGTCTCATGCGTTTCATCAGAATGTCGATATTCACATTAAACCACTGTTCTTTGCTCTTTCTTGACTGGGTGCCTTTTTCCCAGTAATCCTCCTGCATTTTCTCCTTCATCCAGGTCTGTTTGGGAATCTTCTTCTGTTCCTCACTATTGTAATAGTCGATCTGTATGTCATCTAGCAGAGCCATAGCAGTGAACTGATAGATGCCCGGCAGATCGACAGGTTTGGACAAAGCTGTGTAAATGTAATACAGCGAGTGCTTCTCTGCAGTAAAGAGCAATGAAATATGAATGTAAAACTATTCACTAGATTATAGGTGAGTAAAGTGAAGGAGAAAGCAATGACAGTTTTTCTCGATTTCTAACACACTATATCTGATTCAATTTCCCAAACCAGTGCTCTGAAGGAAGACATTTATTTTTCTCTGACCTTTAAAAGACATGTTTTCTTACACGCTCCAATTTAGTGTAATTTTTGTTCTATGCATGGAAAGACCATGTGGAAAGTGTGCCTACAGTCTCATCTACAGGGTTTTTACACTACTTAAACATACAGTATAATGACAGTACATTGCAGCAGTGCTTTAGATGAGAGAACCATCCAGGCACGTGCACACATAGACATCAAAGGAGGTTTGAGCACCTGCCCTTTTTCTTCCTCGAGACAAAAGTGCCCTTTTTTCTGGGGATTTAAAAAAAAAAAAAAAACTGTGTGCGTGTGTGTGTGTTTCTGTTTGTGCACAGCTGTCCCTGTCAAACAAATAAAAAATCAAAATATCAGGTTGGGTCAGGAAATGTTGAGACTGTCTCCCTCCACGTCTCCGCAGCACAGCAGTGTAGCACACATTGATCAGCTGCACATCACAGACACAGAGAGCCGCAGAAGTGAAGCCCTCCCTCCCTTTCCAGCTGTGTTTGTCTTGCTGTGGAGGTGAGTGGTGATGAACAACAGACTAAGTTACCTGTGCCCCGAATTTACAGCTAATTATCCCATCCATGACTCATGAGAGCTAACAAGTTAACTAAAGTTTAATTAAGGCAATAGGAAGTCTATTAGGTTAGACCAGTGCGGGTTCTTTCACTGCATGATTCAGTTTATTAAAATGCATTTAAAATGCAACATATGGGGGCAGAAATGCATTTATATAATTTCATATAGTTAATCAGTATCACAGGAAGACTGGCTTTTTTCCACCAAAAAGCAGCATGATTACAAATGTGATATTGATTTTATGCAGCAGTTCAACAAACAAGAATTTAATATTAAGACACTAACGTTTCAGACACAATATTGACTGTTTTTGCTCTATTTCGCTGACAAATATAATTCCAATTTGCGTCGCTGAGCAACATGATGTGTTTTGTTCCTGAGTGAATCAATCGTTTAAATAATTCAGTTCAGTCGCAATGACTCGCTTATTAACAGTGACTTGCTGCCACCTACTGACAGTTTTAATTTCACATTTAAAGTTATCTTTTCATATATATTTTTTAATAATTTCAAATTTCAGTATTTAACGTTTTATGTTTAAAATATCAAAACAGTATTAATGCATTTGTAACTGCAGGTTAAATACATTCATGTCCTGCATTAAACAGTGTGTAAATGCATCAATGTCCCTTCAGCTTCTGTGTTTTCTCTGCATTGCAAAGATGAATTTTGTCAATACTGATTTTGGACTGGTAACAGCCCGAATGACTTATTATTCTAATAGACTGATTCAATTTAAGAATTTAACTGAAAAGATGATGCACACATTTAAAAAAAAAGGCTTAAAGGTAAAAATCTATTTAAACTTATTGGAAAAGATGAATTTATATCATTGCTGTGAACTGATCACCACACAGAATATGCAGAATATGAAAAACTTTAGGAGTCAGCTGTCCACGGTAGTCCTTAAGATTTCAGCACAATAACACACTCAGCAAAATATCATCTAATTATTGTTCTCGATAAAATCTCAGAAAATATTGAGATATATACAATATTGCACACCCCTAATATATTTAATGTTTTGTTCAGAAAAAAATGAAAATAAATATGAGAAGTGCCCTTTTTTCCACTTGAGCCCCTGCCCCTCAAAATGTCCCAGGAACCATGGAGGACTAAATAAGATTGAATGTGTCCATTTATAGGTAGATTTACTAGATTTCTCTACATTTCTATAGGGTGACCATACATGCTTTTTTTCCAGGACATGTCTTCTTTTAAGAAAAAAAAGGCCAATCCAGCTTTTGCTTTATACAGTTTTTATATTGCCCTGCTCTGGACTGTTTTCTTAATCCCGCTCCCGCACGAAACACACACAAAACATCTGCAATGTTTTTACTGGAAGGTTAGTTTATATGGTTATAAAAAAATAGGATGAAACGTTTTATCTATAGCCTGTTATATATACTTTTTTTGCATACGAAGTTAGCATGCATTTCTTCTCAAACTGAATTACTTTCGTTACAAAGATGTTTTAAATCTGGTTACTTTCAGTTACGTTATTCTCTGATAAATGCAGAAACTTTAAATCATTTACCTGCTTGAAGTATAGGAGGAGTGCCATAAAGAAAAAGAACACAAAGCAGAGCAAAGATCTTCATCGCCACACACGTTCCCCCATGACTGAAAGCCTTTAAATGTGTAAATCTGACTAATTACCAGAGGTGTAAAGAGTACCTAAAACCATACTTGAGTAAAAGTACAGATACCTTACAGTGAAAATTACTCCACTACACGTTACAAGTCACCAATTCCAAAACAACTTGAGTAAAAGTCTTAGAGTATCTGATTTTACATTATAAAATATCTATCTATTTTACTTATACTAAATATAGGCTCAAAGATGCACTAGTCAAAGATATGCCAGTGAAAAACTGTAACGTTGTGGAGAAGCTGCGCAAAACAGGCAGAGGCAAGGATCTATGTACAGGTATTTAATGGAAAAACTAGAACAAACAATAAGGCAAAACCCAAAGGGAACAAAGAACAGAATAACTGGCAAACAGACAACCATTACATTCAACAACTCACAAGGAACTAAAGAACAACTAGGGCTATATATACACACAGGGGGCTAACAAGCTTAACAAGATCAGACACACCTGTGGAGACTAATCAAGGGGAACCAATGAACAAATGGACTACAAACACCATGGAAGACAGAAAGTGACATAAAAGTTCAGTGCAAGGCACAGAGAGCATGAAACAAAAACAAGAAAGAGTTGATTTGTGAGGAGAGCAATCACATTTATTTTCTAAAACCAAAATAAAACTGAACACCTCAAAATTACAAAACAAAACAAACAAACAAACTATATCTTTCAAAAAGATCTCTTCGGTATAATGGATACATAAAATAATGTTAAGTAAAATTAAAAAACTGAAGCCTTCTTGCACTGGATGTGCTGGTTTGGGCCTCATTGGGCTGCAGTCATGTCCTCATCTCATACATAAAACACCTCTGATTCACAAATACTTGCTAAGGAACTCGCATTCACATAAAGTAGCCTTGTTGACAAGTTTGGGTGAGTAAGGGCAAAACCTGTAGCAGGCAGTATCACGTCTTTTGTAGCAGAAATAAACTGCAGCAGAAAAAGCTAGGTCCATGCTAAATGTAATGTGTAACTGCAACACTCATTTCAAATGTAGTGGAGTAAAGACTACAGATACTCGTTCAAAAATGTAGTAAAGTAAAGAGTAAAAGTTGCTAATATCTTTGATACTCAGTACAACTACAAAGTACCTGAAAAGATACTCAAGTACAGTAACTAATTACATTTACTCCAATACTTTACACCTCTGCTAATTACTCATTTTTAAATCATTGAAAGCAAAAGCTCTCAGCAACAGAAAACTAGTCACAGAAAATAGCGGTTGATGTTTTAACTAGTGAGAAAACAAAACGATTACATCATGTGTATCAGGGAAGAAGTGGAGAGGCTTAACCCACATAAAGTGTTTTAGTCAGTCAGTCAGTGTTCAACGAATAAATACATTTATCATACATTTACGCATTAAACAATTCTTTCACAAAGTTATAGTACGTTATATGTTGACGGCAATATGGCCAACAGTTCAATGTTCAATAAATAATTAAAAAAAGTTATAAATGATAATATTAAAATAAAGAAATAAAAAAAAAAATCTTCTGCCAAGTTGTAAGGTTTGTTAGTTGGTTCATTTTATTTGTTCTCAAAATGTTTACACATAGGTAGTGTGTATTCAGCAATCAAGTGCAAAACTCTTCCAGCAACAAGCAATTTGTAAACACTTGTTTATTCACAGAGTTCATAATTTGAGGTAGTTTAACCATTGTCACTTTTAGTACGGCTAAAGGTCGCACAAAATGATATTCAAACTCACACAGACACTTCTAACATTAAATAAAGCACAATCAGCACCTGAGATCATTGTCATAGTTTGTATGCTGTCGTTCTGGCCTTGATGTTGCAGAAATAGAAAGTAGAAACGTTGCAAATGACCATCATGAATGGATACGACAAAAACAACAAAACAGTGCAAAGAAATAGCATTTAAGAATAAACAGATTACAGACCAATAACAGGCAGACATCCGCTGATACCATAAATTAATTTGATACAATTAAAATGTTAATTTTGTAATTATATAAATGAAGTCAATGTAAAAGAACAAAATTAATCAACAAATGTATATACAGAAACAGTATTTCACAGATTAAGACATTCAAGAGTATATAAGGCAATATTTTATAGAGTACACAGGATAATTATTAGGATATGCGATAAAGTATGCTCTGGTTTATTTTTATTGCCACTTAGATTTAAAATATTAGAAACGCTGTAAGTGTGTCCAGTCTGGCCCTTTAGAGATAGAATGATAGTAAGATTGGAAAACCCGAGGCTTGTACCATGATGAATCGGCTTCATGGTACAGGCCCCAGCTCTCTTCATATAAAAATATTTTTCTTTCAGCACTTGCTATAAAAACATCAATGGCTCGAGCAAAGTGCTTCAAAGTGCTTCCGTCTTCATGCAATTAATGTTGCACTGTTTCCATTTGCCCTGAATATTTCTTATTGCACTTTTTCTCTGTAGCGTTGTTACATGCAAACATACCTTGCGCAAGTACGTAATACATATACTGTAAACATATACTATGTATATGTGTAGTTAGATTATTCTTTGTCTATGTAGCACCGTGGTCCTGTGAGG